ATAATTTTAATAGAGTTACAAGCAATAAAGTTAGAATGTTTCTATTTACTTAATCCGCGAGTAACTCAAAAACAAAAAATCGTAGGAACATTTTAAAAAAATGATTTTATAGGGAAAGCTTCATATTTTCACGATAGATAGTCGAAAATTTACTCAAATTTTTTTTAGACACACTACAAAGTGAAAAAAAATTTTGTAGTTTTCTATATTACAAAAAAATGTAAAAATTACAAAACTCACATAAATTCAAAAAACATTGTAATCCATAGTAACTATTTAAAAGTAAAAATTTCAAGCTTTAAAACTCTTTTCTTAAATTTAAATTTTCATTATTTTTAATGAAGATATTGATGGAGAAAAGTCCTTTTATTAACTTGTGTGTGTGTAAAGGAACTTCTTCCCTAACCTAATACATAAAACATTTTATATACATATATGATTATGTAAAATAAATTATATAAAATAATATAACTATATAAAAATTGACATAGTTTATATACAATTATATATAATTATATATAAAATATCCATTTATATAACAATTTTTTCTCGAGTATTCATTTTTTTTTAAATATTATATTGGGAATACAAATTAGTTCGATCCGTTCAAAAATGCATTTATTTCCAAACAAAATGAATGAACAAATCAATTAAAGTATTGTCCATCGCTACCTACTACTTTTTCCCATCTCTCAGGCAATTTTCGAATTCCATCTCGAAAAAATGACTCGTCTTTGGAGGCGATCCAATTTTGGAGCCAATTTTCGATTTCTGCGAAAGAAGCGGTGAACTGGTGACTTGCCAAATCATGCTGCATCCTTCGGAACAATCAGTAATCAGAAGGAGCAATGTCCGGAGAATACGGCGAGTGCAGTAAAACATCCCATTTGAGTGTTTTCAAATATTTTTTTACGACTTTAGCGACATGAGGCCGAGCGTTGTCATGAAGAAAAATAACTTTATCGTGTCTCGTATTCCGGCCGTTTTTCTTGCAATGCACGGCTCAAACGAATCAATTGTAGCCGATACCGATCGCCTGTAATGGAATCGCCAGGTTTCAGCAGCTCATAGTAAACAAGACCTTTTTGGTCCCATTAGATACAGAGCATGATCTTCGAACCATGAATGTTCGTGGTGTTGATGTTGAGGTCGATGGCAACGATTGATCGGGCTTAGCGTAGTATTTTTTCTTCTTGGAATTGTCGTAAAATATCCACTTCTCGTCTCCAGTCACAATCCGATGCAAAAAACCTTTTCTCTGTTGTCTTTGAATCAACTGTTCGCAAGTGAAAAATCGCCTTTCAACGTCTCTCGATTTCAGTTCATAGGCACTCAATTTCCTTGTTTTTGAATTATTCCCTTGGCTTTCAGTCGTACAGAAACGGCTTGTTGAATAACCCCTAATGATTCTGCAAGCTCTTGCGTTTGACTCTGATCTTTTTCGATGCCTCTAATTCTTTGTCTTCGAATTTTTTTGGCTGTCCAGAGCGAGGCTTGTTTTCAACGCTGAAATCTCCATCCTTGAAACGTCGAAACCATTCCCTATATGATTTATCAGTTGGAGCAGTCACCACAAACTTCATTCACACAAGCATTCGACGGGCTTCAGCCGCACTTTTCTTCTAATTAAAGCAGAAAATTAAAATCTCCCGCAAATGCTGCTTGGTTAAAATTCGACATTTCAACACAGTAAAAATCAAGGTTTTTGTATAAAACTCAAAGCGATATAAACTGAATATTATTAGCAGATGTTTAACCTCTCTGGAACTGTCAAAGCTGTCACTATGAACCATTCATAGCTGGAGCCATCTTTAGGGAAACGGACCGAACTAATTTGTACTCCCAATATAATATTTTTTTACATGTAACATTTATAATAAATCTAAATAAATATTTCTAATAAATATTTTTTACTTGGATTTTACTGTAATGTTTTATTAAGTATTTTCATATCATTTATTACAACATTTATAATAAATATTTTATAATATTTATAATAAATTTTTATGATTTGCGCAAGACCACAAAAATATTTATCATAATATTTAAAATAAGTTTTATAAATGTATACAAATGTTTTATAAATATTTTATAAATATTATGCTGTCTGGATTTGGAACTAGATTGAATAGACATAATCCAAAATTATTACAACGAAAATTTAAGATATCTAATTATTGAAAACATATACATATTTTTAAAAAGTAAGTATTCCTGGGGAGCTTATTAAAATTCTTTCAAAATTATAAATTCTTCTAAAAATTGTGACGAACATATCGTGAATCAATGATGTATCATTCAACGTACCATTATCACGTAGCATCAATTCTGCGAAATCATCGAAGCTTCCATTCAAACCGTGGAATGTTTTGCAATAATAATAATAACTGACGCAAACGTCTTTTGGATTTCTCGTGATATATATTATCTGCAAAAAGAGAAATCAATACAAAGACGAAAATAATCACTTTTCAAATAATGACTTTTCATATGTACGTTGCATCATTACCTTTGGCTTCTTCTCGTGGAGCTGCCGCGGTAATAAATCCCAAGGTAGATGAGTTTTAATGTATCGCGGCCTTGGCATCTTTGCTACATTTTCGACAGAGTCACCCAGAGCTTTAAACCATTCATCATACTTCCCATTGATCATGATAACCGAACTCCTGATGAGGGAAGACATTTGGAGAATAATAAAGGGTATATTCCGAGTTACGCATGAAGTGTATGATGTATCGTTTTATCCTTCTTTATTATTTAGTAAGCAACAAGAACAAATGATGCATCATGCGCTTCATGCGTAATTCGGAATGCATCCAAAGAGCACCCAGATAGCAATTGTTAACGTTATTTATTGTTATCGTCACTTTGACATTAAAATAACACTTAATTTAATTATGACAATATTTTAATATCAAAATGATGATAATATCTGTTTGCTCTACCTGGATAGTGTAATTTCTCTTGCAATTTTACAAAATAATGATTCGACTCGTGAATCTACTTACTCGAGTACAGGACTCCGTTTTAATATGAGTGTACGGGCTTCTTCATAATCAAAGTCATGTCCGATGCACCATGTCATTTCCTGTGCCCAGTTACTTCCTGAAAATCAATTGTACACATTAAGAAGAACATTTGAGAAAAGAGAATCAATCAGGCAACATTTTAAAAAATATTTTTAATATTTATTTTATATTTTTAATAAATGTGTTAAAAGGATGTTTTAAAAGCATTTACTGATTGGAGATTAGTGATAATACTTGCTTGGATTTACTCAATCGGCGATTATAACTCTCGTTTCTATCAATAGATTAACTTTCATTTTGGTTTAACTTGTACTTCATCCTTTTCTAATTCTTGAAACTAAAAAAAGATGAAGAGAGTTGAACCAAGAAAAATTAAACTTTTGGTAGAAATAATTCAACTCGCTTACGGCAAAATTTCTGATCCATAATTCATCGTCTCTAATCCAATTTTTTCATATGTTAAAATACAGTAAAAAAATTAGTAAATCTATCTGCATTAACAAAAAGAATAATCAATTGAGTATAACAATTGATCAATCAGGATTTGATCAAAAGTCACTCTAATTACGTGGAATTTTTTTCGTTTCGAATATAAAAACCTGTTTGTTTCTTTTTTTATTATCTTACAACTGTAAAATTTATTTGGAATTATTTACTGAATTGTGATACTAAAATATTTACCAGTTCGAGGAAACGAGATCATCCAGATGTCATCCTCATATACCGGCATGTCACGTATTTTCTGCGCATAAAAGATAATTTTTGGCGGTAACAAGCAATAACTGGGTTGCACCTTTACAACACTCGGCTTCATTCCAAATATCTCGTCTAATTTATCCGCCGTCTCGTCATCCATAGTTGAAAACACGATCGATCTTTTATCCACTGCAAAAAAAAACAATTTAATAAAAATAAATGATTTAAAAATTTGCTTTGACAATTCTATATTTGACTCTCACTTATTCCTTACTGTTTATATCGTGCGGATATTAATATACGCGAATTTAACGCAGATTTCAAGTATAGACTTTACGCACTCAGATGCTGTTGCACATGCGACTTGCAGAGAAATGAATGTACTACCCGATGACCTACTGCCGACTAGGACACTTTTTACCGGTTTTATTCCTTTTCCCTGTTTTCCATAACTTTCATACTTTCATATTTGCCATGTAAATAAAATGATCAGTTTTTATCGCGTGCATTTAATAGTAAAGCTCACGATCGCAGATAATAGCGAATATGTTTATATATTTAGACTCAATGAATAAAAAAACAAATTTTTTAATCGAAGGGAATTATGAGTCAAAGCTGGATGTTAATTATGAGCAATTAAATATCCATCTTTTTTACTTATAGCCCTTTAATTTTAAAATATATTTGTATATTCTCTTTATTTATGGTTTATACATTCTTTTTTTTTACTTGAATCTTTTGTGTATGATTTCATCATATTTTAATTTGTTTTTTGAAATAATTAAGAAAATATTATAACCGCAGAGTAAGATACGTTAAGATATTTTTGTATCTTTCGGTTCATAAATAATCTAATTTTTACAAGGCATTTAGATTTAGATGAAGTGTAGTTTGCAAAATTGAAAATAAAATTTATTTAGCATTCAGTTAATTGCGCTTTTAACATTGTAAGAATGTTGTCAATACCCGGGAAAAAAAAACATACAGAAGTACCGCTTCCAATTTTTATGATCCAGCTTTTAGTATATTTAAAACTAAAATAGAGTACTCTTGAAATCATTCAACATTCATTATAATTTTCTTTTTAGTTTCGATGATATTCTTTTCAAAAGAAAAGAATAGATTTTTGTCAAAGGAATGTTTCGCCCTAAAAGTGTATACATATGTGGATACGTATAAAAAAATTAAATTAAAATTAATATTCTTTATTATGATTTAGAATACAACATGTTAAAAGCTTATTAAAATTAGAAAGGAACATTTCGTACGTTTCCTTGTTAAATAATAAATAATATATACATATTTATATAGAAAGCACCCATGGAAGCCTCAAGAATATTAATGTACATATTTTATGATTTTTTACAATACTCAATATTCAGTGACAAGTTCGTATGTGTGCTACAAATCAAAGTTATATTTTAATAAATACTTCTTACGATTTTAGAATAGTGCTATTTTCACGAATCCTGAACTTTAGATATTTTATCGTTTGTGTACGTTATCGTACGTTTGTATCTTATTATTGTTGATGTTTATGTATCATGGATGTGTTCGGAGAGAGACGTTATTCGCGCTATTTAGCGTTACAAATTGTTCGCGGAGCTGCAGATAGCACTAACACGATCATTATGTCACAATTGCGCGCTATATCAACTTCAGGCGAAAATATGGAACTTTATAAAACGTTGACAACCGTTCGATGACAATTTTTTAAAAGTTTATATGTTTTCAAACTTTATAAAAACGCTTACAGAACACCATTGAGTTTGAAACACTTTTAGAACGCTTATGAATACAGTATATATCGTTTCATGAAAGTTTTGTAATGCTAAAGCAACACTTTAAATGTTCAGACAAAGATGTTCAGTAAATGCTGATGCATCGTGCAGAGAGTTCACTGTCAGACTTTTCAAACATTTAGCAAACGCTTTTCTCAATACTGTGAGACAAGCATTTTTCTTCCGTTTAACAAATGCTGTTTCAATGTGCGAATTATTGAGTCTTAGTAAACGTTTTGTAAGGCATTTACACATACGGCTTAACGCTCAAAAAATGGTTTCTTCAACTCATAACACAAGCGTTTTTCCTCCGTTTAGGAGGATGCAAATAGCTTCTACATATCTCATTTTTAAACAGTATGCAACATCGCCACTAGGGACACAGAGAAATTCAATTTCTCACATTTAAAAAACCATATCGAATAGGATAAAAGGCGCAGTACGAGACTTTTCAGTGAAATATTTTGTATCTTTTTTTTTTGATAAAATGTCTGAGTTTAGCAGATTTAATACTTGAACTGAACATCAAACATTCATGAAACTTTTTATTTTCAGAATTTTATTTTATGCCTTCCAAGCGCTGCAGCGTTGCAATTTCTGTTTTATGAATACTCTACTGGCCGTTAAATTCTCAAACAAATTCCTGCAAACGCTCATGTAAACGTTAAACAAATGTTTATGAAACTTCTTATTTTCGTCAGAGAATGCCTTCCAACGTTGCAATTTTCGCTTTATGAATACTCTAGTGACCGTTTTTAAACTCTCAACGAACTTCCGCAAACGTTCATGTAAAGGTTAAACAAATGTTTACAAAAACTTCTTCATTTTCGTCAAGGACGCTATTCCTTGTATTAGCGTTTACAGACCTGACCCTAGCGTAATGTTGATAGCGTTTAACATTTGTCAAAGGTTAGATTAATGTTTAAGAGAATTCTGTTCTCCAGTGGCATCAAACTTTTCTCTCTTTAGAATTTTGTAGAATAAATGTACGTACGTGTGAAATTCAAATTTTATCGTAGTGAATGCAATCTCAATTTCAATCTCTACAATTGATGGCTTGTCACTAGGCTGGAGTGAACGTAATTCGTATTCGTATATCATCTTTTCAAAATTTCTGCAGAGTTCAAACTTGTATATTTGATGTTATTACAAATGTAAAAGTCAGAGGCATCTTGTTGCCGATTTTTAATTCCCGTGGGACGGAAAAAAGTTACTATTGCGGTATAGCGTAGCAGGGTATTCCGCTACAGATGCTTAAGTCCCAGTCAGAAATAATTTCTCGAAAAGACGTCGTTTCAAAAAGATGTCGAAAATAAAAAGTCAAAAGTTTTCGAAATTTCTATTGATTTCGATGGATTTTTGACTCCAATTTCGATTAATTTTCAAGTTGGAAATAAAATTTTGAATTGATCTAGTCAGCAAAAAAATATATTAGTGTCACTAATGCAATAAATAAATTCGACAAGTAGAATCACTATAATAATAACATAATAATGGTGGAAAAAATTTCAAAGTTTAAAGTTTAAAGTTTTTTCAATTTTAAAGTTTTATTGAAATTTTATTGCAAAAATAAATATTGATTAACATCAGAGGATATACGACAAAATTATAATAAAAAAAAATTTATTTTATGAATTCGAAAACTAATTTTACGATGCACGCGCGGTCATCAATCCGAATCCGACTTCACTTATCACGCTTCATTTCTGTGATCGTACGGGAACTGTTCCTTCGAAGAATCATGACTACCTATAATGCTAATGAATGTATAGTTGTAACATATCTGTTCAAAGACATTGTGAAAGAGACGGAACACATAAAAAAAGTATAATTAATATTAAATATAGTAGTAATGTACAAAATGATGATACCTTGTTTATGATAATAACTTGTTTTTAAAAATACTGTAAAATATTTTTATTAGCTGAAATAATACTATTGCTCTAATGATATATATATATATATAT